AGGGGCGCCTCCTCGCCCCCTGCGGCCCTCAGGGCCCCCTCGTTCCCCGTTGTCGCGGTGCTGCAGCCCTCCGCTTTCGTTTAACCTTGTGTGGGAAAGGGACGTCCCGAGGGGAGAGGGAGGCGCCCCGCGGAGGCCTGCCCTGGCAGGCCCGTGGGTTGCCCCGACATCAGTCCCCCTGCCTTCCGGCACCTGGGCCTCTGAGGAGCTGCCGCTCTTCTGGTAGAAGCCGGGTGCCCGGGAGATGTGTTGTCCGCACGGCTGCGTTTAGCTTTCTCCGGACGTTCCTGTTCGCCTGGAGGCTTTGGTTAGGAGGCATCCGATAACGCCAACTGCTTTTAGAAGTACCTTGAATGTCCAGGAAACTACGCCAAAAGCCTTCCAAAGCGTCAGTACGCTATTTGCTTGTTATAATTGGATACATTCAGCTGTCGTGCCACTTGGGAGGGCGTTCTCACGTTCATGAATGAAAAGTCTGCCTCTGAGAAGTTTAAAGAGAGCAAGTTATAAAAAGGATTTTTGCTGAGCACACATTTAAAAAAGAAAATGCAACAGGCTTTTTTATGTTGATACACAAAGGACTAAAAACTAGGCTTGTCAGTAGTATGGTTTGTGCGAGCTTGACTTTGCAATTGAAAGGATTATAACCAGCTGCATAGTACAAAGAAAAGGAAATGTAAAAACATCATGCAAAATAGACATTGTTCTTCAGAGCTGTATATGTCTATTTACGTGATTTTATTATAAGCCTTTTAGGTGAAAGCTTTTGTGTAAATCCTTTATAACTATTGTGAAGTTTATGGATTATTCAGAGATACAACATTTAACATGTGCTAAATATTTTTACAGTTAAGGTCAACACTTACATGGAAGGTATCAAATTACACTCATGTCTTATTTTTATATGTTATCAAATTCTGTTATTGAATGGTGGTGGTAGCTGTAGACTCAACTTTTTAGAGTTGTGTTGCATAGAGAATGGATAAATTAAACTTGCTTTAATATCACCATACATATCCATGTGTTGAAGGTGGGCAAACTTCCAATGTATATGCAATGCTTGCCTAAATACCTATCAGCTGTGCTATTATGCATCTTCAAGATTAATATTGAGTGGGCATCAACGTACAGGTACAGTGGAGTAATTCAATACAGGAATTAGAGCCTAATTCACAGTTAAGCTTGTTATTTCTTCATTGTGAGTTGAATGCCTTTGAGGCTTCTTCCCAAGGAAATATATTTGTTGGGTGATTTGATTGTAAATTTTAAATTAAGCAAAAATTCACTTGCTTTCTCTGCAAAGTTAAGAATTAGAGGCTGGAATAGTTGCAGTCTCGCTCTTGAGGATACCAAGATGGGACGGCTTACTGCTGCACTCTATTTTCAGTCCTCAGGCCATATATCTCAGCCTCTGAAGAGATGGAAAGACTTGTTCAGCAAGTGTGTATCTAAGCATTAAACACTTTTTCCTGGTTCTGAGTTGTGTACTGTGGATAAGAGGATTGACTCAGGGCAGCTTAATTTCACATACAGCCTAAAGATTTGTTTTCCAGTGTATGCAATTGCAGTAAATATTGGTAGTGTGATTTCCATTCAGGACCAAATTAGAAGGAGAGCAATGAAAATGGTTCTCTAATAACCTGTGGTTTAAAATTCTGCCTGCATGTGAAGATATAGCTCTGTTTTATGTGTATATATGTATGCAAGCTTGAAGTATAGAGATAAATGAATTGACTAAAGAACTGTGGGTTGAGCAAAGAAAAGAATGTTTATCTACTTGATTTTGTTTTGTTTTTCAGGTGATGAAAAAAGCAGACATGATCAACAAAAACATGGTTCACCAGGTCCAGGCAGAGAGGGATGCATTGGCTCTCAGTAAAAGTCCTTTCATTGTGCACTTGTACTACTCACTTCAGTCAGCTAATAACGTCTATTTAGTGAGTAAATAAATGGCTATGGTGTTTTATGACAGCGTTGAAAATGGAGTGCAGAACTATATTCATGTCTGAAAACATATTTTTATGGTAGTGAGTGGGTATTCCTTAGTCACTTTTACTTTCTTCTTTCTCAGAATGGTTGAACAAGTGAAATATTTCTCTTCCCCTGCTATCTTTGAGATCTTTCCACCTGTGTTCCTTTTTTTACAGGAACCTTTTCTAATAGCTAATATATCCTAGGAATATGTAGAGATCTTAGGGAAAACAAAACAAGAAACCATTCTCTTCAAGTAGAAGCCAAGTGACTGAAAGACACCCTGTGGCTCACTTAAAATAAATTTCTTTTACTTGTTGCCTGTGCTCAAAATTCGTTATGGTAGTATGGTAGATGACAAGAGGATAACAGAATGGCAAAACTAAGTGCTAGTCTACATGGAGAACTGTGGAGTACAGTAGGATTTGAATATGGTTTCATATATTGCCTCCACATAAAGGTAATATGGATTAAGATTGTCTACAAAGGGTCTAGCGTAATTTGTCTGGTTAGCTGTAAGCACACACAGTGAACAGCTTAATTAAATTCTGAGGCGAGGTTGCTATGCACTCCTACAATGCATTTTGTGTGTAAATGAAGGCTTCTTTTCTTGGAACCTCTGTTAACTGCTGCGTGGAGTAGAGGAGTTCAGGGTGAAGGATTTGTAAAGGAGATGCTATAGCCATATATATGGAACAGTATTATATATTGGAATCTAAGTACTGGTGAGATTTCTTGACCAAAACACCATAAATTCATTCTTGTCATTGAAAAGTGAGTTTCTGAAACCCTGCTGACTTTTCTTTTATCTTGAATAGGACATGGGCCATAATAATGTGTGGGTTTACTTAAGGTTTTTTGGTTGTCTGTATTTTTTTTAAACACCTTCTTTCACATCTTAAATGCACAGTAGCTCTCACTGTATACATTTCTGGAAATTTGCACTTACTTCACAAGTCTTGGGTCTGAATTTAATATTGTGTATAAACACTTGCAAAATAAAATCATTGAGATGCCTGTTCTATACAAATCAAAAGATCAGTGGTCTTTGGCTTCAGGCCTTGAGTTTCACAGAAGTGCTTTGCAATTTATTTTCTATAATACAGAAATCTTTCAGAAGTTAATTAAAAAGCTGACTACAGTAGTTATTTGAAAGCTGACTACAGAAAGTAGGCTAGGCAAATAATATAAACTAAGTAAATGGGCTGTTAAAAGAAAAAGTTTCATGTCCTCTGTCATCTGAAGCTTTAATTACAAGTGGAATACAAGTGGAAAGTATTGTGTGGGAAATGAAGTTTGCACAAGGAAGCTTCTATCAGCTTCCACTCTTTGAAATTATATTTTCCTATTTTATAGGAAACTATTTTATATTTTATAGGAAACTATTTTATATTTTACTTGCAAATTTGAAATGTGTTTTAAAACATTAAATTTAAAACACTTGAATGGCAGGTGATGGAGTACCTTATTGGTGGAGATATCAAATCTCTTCTCCATATTTATGGATATTTTGATGAAGAAATGGCTGTTAAGTATATTTCTGAAGCAGCACTGGCTCTTGACTATCTTCACAGGCATGGGATAATCCACAGGTAAAACCTACTTTTTTTTTTTTTTCTTACAAATAAGTATTTGGTAGTTTGGGTTTTTTAATTTTTCACTCAAACACATAACCAATCACCATTTCATAGTAACAGCTACCTCATTTGCTAGAGTTTCTGGAAGCTCTTTTTGCATGTGTACACTGCAGCAATGTCATGAAATGACACCTAAAATAAAATCTGTCCATATATGTTAAGCAGACAAATATACACTGCTTTCCCCTTCCTGCATGCTTTTCCCCCAGTACAGTGGTGTATTAGCAGCTATGCTACCTTTTATAGGTCCCCTCTCCCTGTGACTTTTAAATGACTGTTAGTTCAGGAACCCTCTGGATGCTGCAAGCATGTCACTGTAGGACAAAGGGACATTAACTACTCTAATGATCCCCATGTAGTGAGAGTTCTTTGCTGTGTTTAGTGGTGCTACAGAGAACACACATGAACACTTTTACTAGAGGTTTGCTTGTCATGTGTAGGAGCTACACATTAGTAAATGTTGTGATGGTAGTACTCATGAAGAATGCTTGTTAAACCTGCTGAAACACAAAATGTGCAACTCTTGTGACATGCATGGTGGTTTTACAAGGCCTGAGATGTTTGTACAATATTTAGTGCTAGATGTGTTTAATTGTTTTGGTGTATTTCTTCAATTGGAATCTTCTGCTGGCTAAGAGATTTTACTGAGAAACAGCTATAATCGATGTTTTGTATTGAGTGTTTCTGGTCAGTTAACTTTCTTAATATTGTTCAGTTGTCTTTTTGCTGACTTCAACTATATTCATGTCTCAGGGATCTGAAGCCAGACAATATGCTCATTTCTAATCAGGGCCATATAAAGTTGACAGACTTTGGGCTTTCCAGAGTTACTCTGAACAGAGGTAAGAGTTGTCTGTATCTGTTTGGTTGTAGTAGAATGTATTTTTGTGTCATATTCCCGTATTCTGGAATGCTTTACATCCCTGTAGAGGGCAGCTTTCAATTAAATAAGCCCACATGTTTCATTAATATCTGATTTCTGGTGGGTAAGTACTGATAAGGTACATGCTAGTAAAGGGTCTGCTCTATGCATTGCACTTCAGAAGCTAAAATATTTATTGTTTGGGACAAGGGTGTATAAAATATGATCTAGAGCCATTTCTCCTGAGGGGTATGGATTTGAAAGTTTTCTGTGAAGTCTACGAAGAGAATTCAAAGGGTGAATGGATAATTCTGGCTTTTTCTTGGTGTTTCTCTGACTATTTCTGTCCTTCAGTTCATGTTTCTTTGTCCTTGTATATATTAATTTCTAACTTGAGTTGGGACCTTCCAGACATAAATATGCAGGACAGGGGGAGGTGGTGAGTCCCTAACAGAAGATTATAAAGCAGCGCTTTAGTATATGAACATAGTGTTTTCAAGTAGCAGAAAATATAGCTGAAGAGTTAAATGACTGTCTGGCACAGGCAATAGGCTGCAGGTCTTAAGGTGAATAGCCAGTTCCTGGACTAGTTTGCACCTCCAATCCCTTAGCCATATCAGCCAAACTAATGGTGCACAGCACCAGTTTAGTTTTTTGAGATAGCTGCTCGTGGGTACATCCTTTTTATATAGTTAAAGGAATGTAGAAATTCAGAGTTGTCTATGGAGTTTCTGATTCATGGTTTTAAGAGTATAGAAAATACTTAGGATTTTCCTCTATAATGTACTGTATTTTCTATAATATACTGCTTTAATTGATAAGTGCTGATGGGACAGATTATTGTGTCTAGCTGAACATGATATGTAAGCTATAAGCCTACTTACCTTCAGTGAGCAAAAAATGACATCTAAGGTTAAATTTTCACCTATGAAAATTAATCTTTACTTTTTTTGAGATGTATTTGGGAGAGAAGGCAGGCTTTGAATCAAATTTACCATCTTAGCCCACAGGCCATAAGCTGGAATTGCTACCTAAAACCCAAAGCTAGTATCAAGTTAGAAAACATAACACAGCATAGTATGTTGGAAAAGAAATAGGACTTTTACAGTTTCTGTATTTATAAACTGTAATTTTATGATGGATGTACAGGAAGAAACAGCTTGTGTTGAATAAGAATGTATGGGTAAGTCTTGGGTTTGGTGGCTTCTTTTGTATATTTGTTCAGTATGTGACTAAATTTTTTTCCCTCATGATATAACTTAAGTAAATGCCTGTAATTTTGCTTATATGATAGCAAAAGGAAAATCTGACCTGCTTCATATTTTTTTGTCTGTTTGTAGAGATAAATATGATAGATATCCTTACTACACCATCAATGGCAAAGCCAAAACAAGACTACTCACGTACTCCAGGACAATTGTTGTCTCTCATCAGTTCTCTGGGTTTTGTAAGTAATTTTCACTGTCTTTGAAGTACTTCATTCTTTTAGTTTACTTACCATCTTAAACGTAATGGAGTGATAAGGCTATTCCTGCACCTCTTCTGCCAGCTGGTAGAATGACTTACATGTTTCCAGTACCTTGAAATTCTGAAGTGATTACCTTGGACTCTATTTCAAGTTGCTGACTATCAGTTGTGCTTCAAAAAATTTCGTAATGGGCATGGCTAAGCTCCGATGCAAACGTAATAAAGAATGTGTGAAGTTATGATCTCAATCCTGGATGTTTTGTTCAGGCTCCATTGACTTTTAACTATGCTTCTTCCTGCTTGATAGTATACTCCTGTTGGAATGAAAATGCCAGGGCACAATTCAAGTCAATCATCTGACAGTCTGCATGGAGTGGTTTCTCCCTTACCTATGGTCCAAAAGGAAAATACCCCTCTTTCAACTAAATTATTCAAAACATGTGAGTATAACTATACCAAGCCTTGTACCAATACCCTGGCTGTAGGGTTGTGGTCTTTTAATTTTATGTGAGTAGCTTGGACTCACTTGATCAGTGTCTTGCTGTTTACCATTCTTCCAGTGCTTAAGGTCTGACATGTTTTCACCTACACTACTTGTGTCATCTTTTGATTTTTTTGTTTTTTTAAACATAGAACCACTGAATTTAAAACGACCCTTTAAGATTTTACAGAAATAGTGTCAGTTCTTGGCATACTTTCATTGAAAAAGATTTAATATAGCAATGCGTGTTTTCATTTAAATTGTCTTATCTTGCTGCTTTCTCATTTCTAACCTGAAATGAAAGAAGGCTATTATGGTGCTAGTGTTCATATTGCTTTTAAATTCTTGTCAAGGCCCGACTTCAAAAAATGAGTGAATTGACTATGCAGGAAAGATGACAAGAGAAATTATGATGTCACGCATAGCTTTCCATAACTTCCTTCAATGTGAAAGCTTGGCATAGTGTGAAGCTGGTTAATATATGTTGCCTATTTGTATCAACATTTGAAATTTTTTTTTCCCTCTCAAGATCTTGATACTTCTCAATTAACTCCTGTGATGCCAGTGAGAAGTTTAACTCCTACTCTACTTCAGTCAAGAAAAAGGTTTGGTACCTCCAGTGCCAGTAGTCAGTCGCACACATACCTGTCCAGTATGGAATCAGAATGCTGCAGCAGCCCCAGGTGGGAGAAAGATGTAGAGGTCAGGACTGTTTCATCTTCCCACTATAAATGAAAATTAGCTTGTATTTGTATATGCACTGTTGCAGATCTCCTCTACTCACTTCCCCCAGTTATTTCAAGTGTAGAGAAGCCTTCCTACAGGAGAAGGAGCAGGGCTTGTAATCCTTGCTGAGTAGGAGTTTTGGATCAAACTACTTTTGCAACATAATGGGGAAAAGCATATGCCAGTTAGCCAGCAACAAAGGAGTGAAAGAGAAGGCTGCTATTGGATGGCACTGGTTTAGCCCTGTTCTTCACAAGGTGGGCAATGCTGGGAGCACTGGCTCTTTGGAAGCTGACCTTAGCGCTATAGCTGTATTAACTGAGCATGCAGACAAAAGAATTTCTTTAAAAGGCAGAACTTGGGAGAAATAATAAACAAAATACACTTCAAACTTCTACTAGCTATTAAAAACAGAAAAAGTTTATGGTTTATATTACTGAAGTGTTTTATATCAACTAACCTAACACCAGTAATTATAGCTGATACAAAATACTTTCTCCTATTTTAAACTGTTATAATGAAATTCTGTACAAATACAGACCTAAAAGAAAATGCTGCTGTGCTATTTAGTCCTTTGCCACGATTCCTATTTAGATCACACACAAATTTATAATTCTTTGTTTTATCTGTCCATTTCCCAAGGCCTTGTTTTTAGTATTGTGTTACAAAAATAGTAGTAATATCAGGCTTGCCTTTTGTCATCTCTGAAGTATAATATGCCACAGGGTAGTAGGATGGGGTTCTTTGGTTTGGGGTTTCTTGGAAACCGAGAACTTCTGTAGCTTAACTTCTTAACATAAAATCACAAATACAACTTTAATTGCTATATTTCTTCATCCTCAGGCATTTAAAAATACTGCATTTTCTATTGTATTCTAGCAAGCTTATTTTATGTTCTTAAAAAAAGTCAAATTATCCCTAATGTAGTTTTGAATTTTTTGAATGTATTATGTCATGTTTGTCACTACTAGTGCTTATAAAGAATAAGTAGCGCTTGCCAATTTACAGTTCTTTATGGAAGTGGAAATAAGGTGTTTTAAAGGACACATTTCTATAATGCTGTAATCCCATTTTTCTTGATACTCAAAACTTAATGTGCTCATTTGCAGCAAAGTGAAGATGAACTATGTTCTACAACAGCCAAAACAAGTAACAGTGGGTCAGCTCTCCTTTCGAATGTAGAATTACTGAATAGCAAAGGTATTAAAGTTTTAAAGAAAAAAGAACTGGAGTCTGCCATTTCTCCCATCAGCAGCAATGATTCTGGCAGTAGGCAGAAGTTGGGAAGTGAACATTCTGATATAACAGATACTCCTGTGACCATACTGGATGTGAAAGGCATAGTCAGAAAATGTCTTTCTGAAAATAGGATTTGGGAAGAAAAACTCTTCGTAAACAAAAGAGAGATGACTAATGAAACAGCAGAAACTTCCAATCAACAACAATCTTCAAGGCAGAATGAGCCTGTCAAGCCTATCAAAGAGGAAGAAATTTTTGAAAAGCCAGGTGTAAAAAGAAGCTTTGAATTAGTTGACACTAGTCCTTGTCAGGAATTTAACTATGTTAAAAAAAGCAACGCGGAATATATACGTGGCTGTCAGATCTCAGAATTTCCAGCAAACAAAAGGACAGGTTTGACAACAGAAATTCAATCCTTAATGCTTTGTGATGATGGATGCCTACATGACACCTGCAAAAACACAGAAGAAGTTAAGAGTTTTATTGGTAACCAGCAAACAGTAGAAAAATCACTTACTCCAATTATAACCAAAAGTCTTATGTGTGATCTGGATGCAGGCTGTGAAAAGGATGATAAAAATGAGTACATGAACTCAAGTTTTTTAGGCACTGATGATGAAAAGCCTTTAGGAATACTCAGTGCAGATCCTGACTTATCATTTCCTGAAATGTCTGCTATGGAAAGCCATTTAGAAAAGCAGCTTTTAGATTTGGACAAAAGTGTTAAAGACCTCTCCTTTGAGGAACCACAAACAGAAGACGTGCTAATAACATCACCAGAGTCCCAAGATGCCTTGCAAAATGGAGAGGAAGCACATACTGTCCAGGACTGCAAGCTGTTACATCATGAAAAGGATAATAACCAAAAACACATGAAAGAAACTTACCTTGACACAGTATCTTCTCCTTCAGAAAAGATGATGGAAACACTGAATCTCTTCAAAAAAAATGCTGTTGTTTTTCGAAGTTATAATAGTCCAATTAATATATCGAATGTATCCGAGCCATGTAGCATGGCTTCCTTAGATATAATGGATCTTTCACCTGCTTGTAGTGGCTCTTACCCAACAGCTGTTACTCCATTACAGAAAGGAAGACCATATAGGGTCTATCAGGTATGTAAGGAGACATGTAGAAACTTTATGCATGCATTAGACATTAGTGATCTGAAATTATTTCTGTTGTTAATTTAGGGAAAATTTAAGTAGTTTGAGGTAGTCTGTCAAAGTGACCCTTGCCAACAGGCTTTCGCTTATTGCACTTGTGTGGCCAAAATTATAATTTCTGTAAGAGCTTAGCAAGAACTGTATGTCCACTGGCTTGCTTCTGACTCAACATGCATTGTCTGTCCACTCTGAGAAATCCATTACTTTTACAGTGAACTGGTAAAGAAAGCCTGTGCTATTTTGTCTCATCCTACTTTTAGTGCAGTGTGGTACTTCTGTGAGTAATTATAGGTTTCCTGATGTAATGGTAAGTCTTTGATTTTTTTTTTTTTTTTTTTTCTTCCCCCCTTTTGTTTTTTATCCTGCATCCCTCCCAAGATGGTCTGCAAATGCTGTTCAGCTGCTGGTAACTGCTACTGAGCTTGCTGTTTTCTTTTTTTATCCTGGTAAAAGTGATGGTGTAATGTGTACTGTCAAGTACCAATTGCAAGCCTCTTGCAAAGATTGATGTAAACAGTAAAGCTGCTTGCAGGCTATGAAGTTTTTGCTTTGACCTTTTTAATCCTTCTGATAGTGAGTAAAAATCTTACTGTCCTAAAGTAAATTAGAGCTCCAATGTGGGAAAAGGAAAAGTATACCTTTCAATCGGTGTTTCCTGTTTCATTTTGGCATAGCTTTACAAGACCTTCATCCAGTTACTTAGGTTCTAGTTGTAGGATTTAAAGCTTTCTGACAGAACTGGCAGTGTGTTGAATGATTTGGTGTACCAAAAGGGGACATTCAAACCATTATTTTCAGAGAAGCCTTTTTTCTGATGTCTTTGTCTGAATTGCTAGCTTCTGTTTCACTTGCATAAAACTTTAATTGACCATGAACCTTAGCTTGGATTTAGCTGAAATGGAGTCAGAATAGTATGCACTTCATCTCCTGAGAAATAAATGACTGATGGAATTGTATGTTTTTGTAACTTAGATTTGAACAGGAGGATACCTTTTTATATACTGTTGTGATTCTTTTTAAAATCACATCATTGCAATCCAATTATCTGTTTTCTATTTTAATAGTGGATTCTGTAGCCTTTATGGCATGGTGATAATGAATTGATCTCTGCTGCACTGAAGATGAAGCCGGAAACAAAATTATTCCAGATATATGGGAATTAAGGGTATATATCTCTGCAAGATAATTTAGTAGTATCTCCAGGTCATAACAAGAAATCTTTCATTGCAATCAGCCTATTGGCTGTAAGAATTTATTGATCTCTTTGCAAGCCTGCATATTTTATCTTCCAATAACATACCAAATTATTTTCAGAAGGTTTATGTACCTTGTGTAAACAGTCACTAAGTCTAACTTGAGCAGAACTTCATCTGCAGACACTATGCAACCCATAGGGTACAGGTTAAACAATAAAGGGCTTATTTGATATATTTTGAGTACATCTGGTATGCAATATGTGAGAAAAGTCAGGATTCTCCTTTTTATTTTATAGGTATCTGACATATATGCTTGCTTTTCATTGGCTAATATTAAAAACTCAGTGCTAAAATTGAAGGCTATATTGACATCCTATTTAGTAGGTTATCTTCAGATTTGAATTTGAAAGAGGAGTTTAAGATTGGGGTTTAAGATTTAGGGGTTTTTTTTTTTTGAGACATTACTTGTGGATTTGACACTGGAGGAAGAAATCTTAGAGGAAAATTTTCTTAAAGAGTAGGCATTGATTCAAGATGGTTGAGATAAAGAAATGGAAGCACATTTCACACTTTTTCAGGGAATGTACGTTTTGTGACATGTTCTTGACTTGAACTTAAGTATCAACTGTTAAACCCGTTACTAAACCTGGAGATGGGAGTTCTTCAGCTGGTTTTGTTTGACATCTGAAATCTTTGTTGCATCTTTTAAGACACCTCATCAGGGAGATGCTGGCACACCATATAGGACTCCAAAGAGCGTAAGAAGAGGAGCTGCCCCCGTAGAAGGTGAACGCATCCTAGGGACCCCAGACTACCTGGCACCTGAGCTGCTTTTGACAAAGCCTCATGGTAAGACTAACAAACCATGGAGTTTGTAAATACTTGAAAGGTGACATATTTACGTTTCTAAATGTCTCTGGAGCTCTAAACCCTTCAAGTAACACAATAGTGAATTCTTTAAAAATACCTAGTGCTTAACTTTTGCCAACGTGGATGGCTGTGTTTGCTTCAGCTGCTCCTTCCATTCACTTTTTTCACATGAGCGGAGGTTTTGACTGTCCAGCATAGTCTTATCTGCTGTTAATCTAATGCTTTGGAAGCTGTGCTTAGGCAGCCTGGGACTTGTATGTGGCTTAGGAATCACAACTTGGTGATCCTGAGTGTCCTTAAAGATTCTTCAGGGTGGGGAGGGGTAACTTGGTGAAATTTAGTATGAAAGGATTAAGTGTCCAATTATTCTTAGAATGTATTCCATGTTTATGGATATTAAAGTGTTATGTGCATTCAGGCAAGCTTATAAAGCTGCATTAAAATCAGTTACTGAGTTGAGTGACCTCATGAAACACTCAAGATTTCTGGCAGGATCCTCCGTATAAAGGGACAGTAGTAGCCATCAAATATTCTTTTGCAAAGTACTATAAGAAAATAAAATAGCACAACTTTGAAGTGCATAAATTTCTCAGGCTCAAATCCTGAGCTTTACTGAGATCAACAAAAAGTCTGAAATATTTTCCTGCTAACTTGCAAGAACCATTAACAAAAAATAAATGCAATGTATCCCTGATACATTTGTTTACATTTTATTTCCATCTCAAAAGTATACTTTTATCTTGTAGAGCTAATAGTCTTAGGAAAATTATATGAGATATGATATCTTCATTGAGAAATAGTGATTACTAATCTGTGGAACAGTAAAATTCTGCTGTATGCAGCTAATATATGTTAACTAAAACTGCATGAAGAGATTTAACGATTTAACTGTAACGACTAAAATTACTAAACATATGTAGTTGTTGTTTTGCACTTCCATTTAGGAATCCTCGTTATTTGGCAGGCGTTAAAACTGGATAATAGTTTGGAAATGTAATCAATGCTGCTTAGACAATGTGAAATTTTGTTGCAAGGTGACTTCTGTGCAATTATTGAGTGTTTTCAGGACTTCAGTGATAACTTGCAAAGAGCCTGGGTTTTATGTCAGGAAATGAAAAATCTCCCGTTACCTTCAGTGAAGCCAGGGTTTTCTGGCTTCGAACTCAAAATTTTCCCTCACTAAATATTTCTGGTGTTGTTAACTTGCTTGTAAATGTAGTTGTAATTCTAAACTATAATCATGTTACAAAACTATTTTATTTCTGTTTCTAACTTGGATTTAACATTGCCATCTTTCTTTATTGTTGAGTTACTACCTTAAGAAAAAAATCTGCATTCCTGTGCCTTCAGAGAATCATACTTGAGATCTGATGTTTGTATTTGTTAGGTTTTTTGCAATAATTGTAATGTTCTTGCTTTGTTGCCTTTTCATATGCAGGGACTCTGATCTCTGGTGAGTTTGCTATACACTGTGCAGAAGTGGAGTGTTCAGCATAACTGTGAACAGTCAAAGTATAACTAGATCACAATTTCCAAGAAAATTGTTTGGGTGAACAGTGTTTCTATACAGAAAGATATGTCCAATATGCACTCCACATAAGAATGCGTGATACTTCCACATAAGATTCAGGAAACATCAGTATCACTGTGACTAGGCTATCGGAAATCACACTTAAGCCTATACTTCAGGAGTAAAGTCAGCATTCTTAAAGACATTGTGTAACAGGAAATAAACCAGAGACACTCTTTCTCTTCCTTTTACTTTATGCAATCAGTCTGAATTACTTTGTGTATGGGTGAAGAAGGCTTAGGTGCTCAAGACCTGGTATTTCTGTTTCTTGCTTCAAATATTGATAGATGTGATTTAGCAGGGATGTGGTAGGAGTTAATCAAATCTTTAGTTAAACTTCGGGTGCGAAAAATTGCTGCTGAAACCTGTGTTACTGCATCATTCAGAGTTGTGATCTTACTAGACTTTGAATGAAGCTGGAGATAATTTATCTGAACATCCAAATACCTCTAAAAACAGGGGATGTGATCTCACTGCTTTGATATGCTTAGCTTGGTGGAGCACTCTTACTGCTGTTAAAAGTTGCTAAAAGTGCATTAGATTACTAGTTACACATCTCAGTTTTCAGCATTTCTAAACTTAGTCAATAGTCCTTTTGAAATGGCTCAAAACATTTGTTTTCTTAACTTGGAGGTGTCCTAGGTTTTTTTATATGCCAAAAAGCCAAGGAAAAACTACATTTATTCTCCTACAAAGATTTTTTTGCAGCAAATGTGGCATCTATTCTTTATACAGTGGAGTGGGCACGGCTTAAAGATGCAGAAAGCTTAGAATGCATGCAGTGGTGTCTGGGATTGCTTTGCCTGCTTGTTTTTAAGTAGGTTAATAAGATGGGTTTGGCAAAAAAAAACCTGGAATGTGGAAAACCAAAATTATTTAACAACAAAGGAGAGAGAGCTAGTAACTATGCATTGCCCTAATCAACTTTAGTTTAATGGAAAGCAGTTCCAGCTTCTTGAGTGCTGGCTCATTCTGCAAGCTGTCTTCAATATTTTGACGTAAATTTAGACAACTGAAAATTAAGTTCAATAGTTTGAATTCTTGGAGACTTCTGAAAGAACTGAGAGAAAGATACGGGTTACAACATGGAGCATTCATCCAGGCTCTAGCGCAGTTGTTAAAGACAACTGTTTCTTAACACAAAACAATCTCTTGGAGAAGTTAGCTCCTGGATTCTCTGTGATGGGAGTTGATAATTAGATTGTTCTTAAAAGCCCTCTTGCTTTTATTGGTAAACCCTGGTATTATCTATAATTAAGATTAAGGATAAGGATATAATTAGGATTAAGGAGCAGACTGGCTTTAAAAAGCCCTTTAATATATTTTTTTAATCTTCTGCATGATTATTAAGTACAACTTATTTTGTCTCTTCCTTCACTTCCAAGAAATTCTGGAGGATTTAAACACTCTTCAATTTCTGCCATGGCTAATCTTGAAATCTTTGCAAATATCATTAAACCTTTGTGTTAGTATAATGACCTGGATTTCTCTTATCAGGTTCTGCTGTAGACTGGTGGGCCCTTGGAGTCTGTCTGTTTGAGTTCCTAACTGGAATTCCACCTTTTAATGATGAAACACCAGCACAAGTCTTCCAAAATATTTTGAAAAGAGGTAATCTGTTTCAGTAATTGGGGGAAGTATGTATTTCCAACATTTGTTTTATGGTTTGAGTTACTGACTCATCTGCATCTTTGCCTGTAGATATTCCCTGGCCTGAGGGTGAAGAAAAGCTGTCTGATAACGCCCAAAATGCAATAGATATTCTTCTAACAATTGACAGTACTAAGAGAGCTGGACTGAAGGGTTAGTATTAAAATTCTCTTGTTCTTTGCAACTAATTAAAAAATTCGAAGTGGTGATATCCTCCTCCTGAAACTTAGACTAAAACTTTAACGCCTATTTAGGTTCCATGTTAAGTGTTCTGGCACTGTACAAGTTGTGGTATTTTCTGTATTTCTTGTGGGATTTTGCACTTTTGAATGAGGAAATTTTGGGGGGGCTGTGGTGGTTTTTTTATTGAACTTTTGTTTTGCTTTAATGCTGTTTTGCTATGGATGTTTAGTGTTTGACATCTGACATACCAAAGTTCACTCTTATCTAACTTGGTAACAGGTATTTGGGGTTGTTGACCTATCTGATTTTAGGAACCTTGATTAAAAGCCTATCCTTTGGGAGAGAAGCCTCCTACAAAAGTTAATTCAAAGGAGCTTTTTCTTAGGAATCAGCCTGTCTTTACTGAATGTATAGGGGAACACAAGAGTTAGACAATATATACTATACAAAGTCTATTTAATTTTTTTCCATTGTACAAGGACTTTAAACACTTGCTGTTGTAACAGCGACTATATCTTATAAAAAAAAATTATATCATGAAGGAAGCTTAGAATGAGATGTTTTGGAAAAAGAGGAAGAAATCTTATGAGAAAACTGCCCAAGAAATCACTAGAGAAGGAAATTATTATGGAAATGCTTACTCATAAAGAGACTAAAGGCTAGAAGCTGAAACCAGGCCAATTCAAATTAGAGAAGGCACCCGGTTATAAATGAAGAACATGATGATAACAGGGAATTCTGTGGCTCTAATGTCTCTCAAAAAACATTTAATGTCTTAATTTGAAGATGTTTTAGTTAAACACAAGTTATTGTCTTTATTCCTGGATAATAGGGGGAAATCTGGTTGCCTATCATGCATAGAAATTTAAACTGGATGACATAATGGTTTCTTCCAATCTGAAGTTCCTGGAAATTCATTCTTTGTCAGGACCTTTAATGGTATCTGATCTCTTTATCCAATTTATAGGCAGCTTTCAGGACAACCATTAAGTTTTCTTCCTTGTAATTGAGTTTCCATCACTGTCATCTTTTCCCCCCTCCCCAACACACATGCTCCCCCCCTCTCTGTTTCCCCAGCATGAAGCCTAACTTACTGAGAAATCCCAGTTATGTCATGACCTTGTGCTGTGCTTCTATGAACTCAGTCTTTCCAGATAAGAGAAGCTTTAAAGCAGCATTTGGCAGAGAACACTGGTATCCAAAGTCTGGGTTTGTCTTTTCCCCCTTCTTCAAGGACGTGGGCAGGAGCTGACTGCCAGCTATGGTACACATCAATACTTCCTTGGAAAAGACAATGAAGTCTGCTCACCTTTTCAGCTGAAGACAGCTTTCAGTATGTGAGAACTTTAAGAGCAGAACTACATAGAGTTCTGAGATAGTAGATCTGTGCAGTGTCCTGCTGTATGTATAGTTGCTGAAGCTATTAGAAGGATTTGGAAGACTAACCCTCTGATTTATTGCCTTTTATCTAAAATAAACTTTAATATTGTGTTATACTATTTGATCCTGAAATCTAGAAATAATAAACAAGTGTTAATGTCTTACCACAGGCTTTTAGCTGATAGATTTTAAGAATTAAAATTTGTAGTGAGTGTTTGTCGCAGTCGAACTTCCACCTCCTCCTAAATGTCTTTTTTTTTTTTTTAAACCACCTGTCCTTTTTTTTCTACTTGCTTTTGATTTTTGTGGTGCAGGTGATTAAAAACATGGGTTTGTATCCCATTTGGCTGAAAAGGTGCTTTCTTGGATTGAATCAAAGTAGCAAAGTCACTATCAGCAGGGAGTGGTGTTTCCAGGTTATGCAAAAGACGTATCAGATCCTGCGTGCCAGGAAGTCGCCTTCTGGTCAGAATGGACAGGATAGGGGAATTCTCCTTGAGTCAGAAAGTCTTGCAGCTTGGTTAGCTATCCCACCTTCAGGCTGGGAAAGGGGAATCTGATAATCTGTGGTAACTTCACCGTAAGGGTGTTTAGACTTGTGTCTGGTGGTAGGCCAAAGGGGACTGTACGAAGCAGAGGAGGACTGCTGCATGAGCTAGCAAAAGGCAGGTGGCCTGGAGTGGAGAAGGGTAGGAGTGACTCCCACATGTCTACTCGGCACAGAACTTTGGCAAAATTAGAAACAGACTTTGAAGTGATGCTTAAATGTCTGTGGTGCCCTATCATGAGAAATGCCCCTAGGGCACCTCTGATCCAGTATGTGTGCTGTGTAGAATAGGTTCTCCAGCTAGGGGAAGACAATAGTTTGATCCCACTGAGGTTGGGAGTAATCAAAACCCAACTGCTATTTGCGCTTCTGTGAATTTCCAAAACAGCAAAATAGAGCAAATCTACTGACAGCTATGCATCAAGGGAACAAAGTGACTATGGGGCTTGGACAAAAGGAAGTTTATAATGCTTATATGAACTTCTGTTTCAGAACTGAAACATCACCCCCTTTTTCATGGTGTGGACTGGGATAATCTACAGAATCAAACTATGCCGTTTATACCTCAGCCGGATGATGAAACTGATACCTACTACTTTGAAGCTAGGAATAATGCTCAGCACCTGACTGTGTCTGGATTTAGCTTATAGCATCAACATAAGTGAACTTTCTCCATGTTTTTGCACACGTACAGGTTGTCCTATAACACTAGTTTGGTCTTAAGTAAGTTTCCTTGCCAAATTTAGAGTGTGTTTTATGTTATCAGTCTTTTTATTATTATATCCTTTATTCTGAAGTGAAACTACTGTACAAAACTTAGCTGGTATCAAGTGCTTCCATGCTACTTTTTATCTCACTTACTGCACCTTACTAAGAGGCCAGAGTGTTGTGTTTCTTGGAGCTAATAACACTTGGCAATGATCGGGCTTTTTTTAATAGCAATGAATAAATCCAGTTAGGAGGTGTGAAGTTGTTTCCCAGGTAAACATAATAGGGAAAGGACATAAATGCATGCTACTTGTATCTAATTATAACTTACCTATTGGTTGTTCAGTGTAACAGCAGTCTTACTTGGGAGTATTCCTTTCTGACCAGTTTGAATATATATATCCACCATGCAAAACTGATGTTTTCATTTGAGGTGAAAAATTGAAATCTTAATGCAGCATTGAAACGTCTTACTTCTGTTTATCTTATCCCAAGAAGGGTTAAAAAAGACAGTGTTGTTCAAAGTTAACTCAGCTAAATGTGACATGTGAGGTTGACAGTAGTTCCACCAGTTATTATCCTTTCCTACACAAATGGGGTAGGGACTGGGGCAAGTCTGCGTAAATCGTTGCATTGTAACCACTTACACTGTAGGAAGATGGACTGAACAGCATACATTTTAGCAATTATTTGTTTTAATTAGAAAATGTTGAGTATATGTGTTTATCATCTAACATGAGTGAACACATGAAACAAAAAATCACCTGAGCGTTAGCTAACAAGTGAAGTATTATTCATACTGAAGCTGCTATATATTAAAGACTATAATGCATTGCAAATTAACAGACTGTTGTTCTGTAAACTCACAACCAGATCTTAGATTTTACTAGAACTTAAGTTACAAGTGTATATTCAGTATTATAAATCCTAATTAGGGGGAAGTGTATTTAAATCTGTTTTCAAATGCAACACAAAACTTGCATCTGCTAGGTTTTAGAGGTTTATTAGTAGGTAATTCTGTTTAAATTATCTTCAATATTTTTCTTGCATAGGTATCTTAGCTGACTTACTGAAGATTTTTATTTTTCAGGTTTGTACTTGCTAGATAAAGATCAATTGTGCTAGATGGTGGTGCCAGCCAGTGGCCACATGCCAGAAGCCAAGCATTTTGCTAGCGATTTTTGCCAAGTGGCTTTTGAGTCTCATGAACTGACCCTCCTTGCAGGGGGAGTGAGTTGTCCCTTCATTGCCCTGCTTCCTGGAAGACAAGATTTATTGATGGAATTCTGAGCAAACAGCGTCTGCTAGGCTTCCTGCTGTCCCCTCAGGTAGCTGGGAAAGGAATGGGAATGGTGGAGAAAAAGGGTTTCCTAGGACCAAAAGAGAGCTAATTCTTAACAGCTCAGAATGACAAATCCCAGCTCTAGGTGTGATAACTCACACAATGAAACAGAATCTTGGCAAGTGGCAAAACATACAGCGACTCTCACTCCCTTTGCTAAGAAATTCAGTTTCAGAAAACTTCTAAATTGTTGAATCTCACCAAAATTAATGTTACATGAAAAAGGTGCAAGCAATCAAATGTAATACGTTACCAAAGCAGTATCCATAGACAACATTCTCTGAATATGATAGAAGTTCTTTAGCGTTTTTCCTGTGAATAGTTAGAATATATAAACTGGGGGAGGAGGAATACCTTAATTTAAGTAATCACTGGTATTTTGTGCAATTTATTCTTCCATTTCTAGTAATCTAGTTTAAGAAAACTAGTCTTACGAGAATGAATCTCAGTTTCATACTGAGGAAAATACTCCAAAAATGTGTTAGGAAATAACGTAAACTGAACACCACAAACAGCTCTTTGTCTTCAGTACTTCACAAATGGTTACAACCTGTTCCCATTTTGTATAATACATTCCCTTCAAGGCAGAAAAAATTAGTTACAGTGGTATAACATGTAAGATTATAACATTTAAAGGTAACCTCTAACCCCTTGAAATAATTCCTAATCAGCTGCAAGGGTCAAGTAAGCTTCTGTCTAAACTTTTTCTTGACCATTCACAATGAACTACAGAACTGCTTAAAAGTCTTTTAGCTAATCTAATGCTAGCGCATATAGAGCTAGAGATGATAGTATACCAAAACATTAGGCATAAAGAATCTTGTTAACTTACTGTTTTGTTCTTATAAAAACCTCAAACCTTATAAAAACCTTATTCTAAAAGAAAATTATGGTTCTTCTACTATAGTTTTATAATGCAATATAAAAACAAATTCTTTAGAATAAATAGGCCAACTGACAAATCAGAATGTTTAATGTAAAAAGTTATTACTACACTGCTGTCTAGAACTGTTAAATTCTGCACAGTTAGCACTGAAACCTTGCAATACCCCATTCTCTTCAGTATCTTGCATTTATCCTGATCATAGCAAACATGGAGTAGAATTTAACAAGTTGATGGCTGGGGTTTGTAGTGTGGTTTTGTTTGTTGTGTTCTTTTTTTTTTGTTGTTGTTGTTAAAAAGGTGAATCCTAGCTTTATTCTTCAATATGGAATTCCTTGTCAACTCTTAATCCCATTGTTTTTGCCCCACTTATTGCTTGACTTGAAATACTACAGGGAAAAGTACAAAAAGCTATAATGTAGTAGCTGAAAGAGATTTCAAGTTGTTTTCTCATTAGTAATCAACTACAAATATTGGTGTAAGCTGGCAAAATTTTCTGGTCCTTAGAAGCTGTGGAATACCACTTGGCAAGTACTCCAGCTGTTACATGGTGTTTCTTGAAGGCCTAAACTTCTTTATGTGCATAACCTACATATAAGCTCACTAGCTTCCAGGTTATCTTGGGAGACAGTTTATTTACTGTTAGCTGGACAGAAGTGTGCTAAAAACTGTAGAGATCAGTAATTGTCACACTTACAGTTGTCCAAGACTGCTATTTCTATATTACTACCAGTAACTTGCGTTAGGCTCACCTATATGCTGTGCAATGTTTGGAGGCCAAGATACTGAAATGCTGCCATGTGTTCTTGAGCTAGTTGGTTCCAGTTTTGGCATGATCAGGTTTACCTATGGTTACTCTTACAGTAAAATGCATTCTTTTCCTCTCTACTACGTTCTCAAAAAATTTACTTTGCACACTTTTGTGTAAATATATAAAATAAAATACTACAGTCTTGCTGTTCCTTGGTTCTGCATTTTTTTGTCTTTAAACTGTCTTACACTTTTGACCCTGCTGGGGGGTGGGTTAGAAGTGGATTTTTACACAGAGAAACCCTGACTGTTTCCTCCTACCCCAGCAAAGACAGTGATTATAAGTATGGAGATACCCAACACTTTCTAATACAGGTGTGTATGCCCTGCAGTTCATAACTTGCTAACCCCCTCCTGCAATCTTTATTACAAGCTACATTTGTATTTCATGGCAGGGGAGCAAGGAGTCCTTGGATGTTCTGTAACTCCTGCTGGGAGTCTGCTCCTCTGTAGTAACTAGAATGAGTCAAAGCCAGAAAGTGGCTCCATCTCCATTGGCACTTACTGTGCTGCCACAGGACCAGAGCAGGAGAGAAAGAGAGGGCTCTGAGGACAGAACAGCTGGCCCCCCTGCCCCCCACTTATACCTGGCTCTGTTCTGGTTCCCTCAACTGAATGCCTATTAGTAGGTGGAATGTCTTCCACCTGGTTTCACCCAGAGCAAACCTATGCTTTTTAGATGAAGTTTGATTCACTGCAGGAAACTAGCTGGACACTTGATTCAAAAGTCCTGTTTTCAGTGCTATGCAGAACTGTTTTGACTGCCAGCCCTCCTGAGGAGAGCACCAGCTAGAACACCATACCCCAGTTCTGAGCTCCAGTGATCTGCTTCTCCACTTTCTCCAAGTTAAAGCTGTCTCTTTTTGTATGTGGGCAAATTATAAAAAATAAATCATTTTTTCTTACCTTAAAATACCAGCTAACTAGAAATCTGTTCAAGTTTTGGTGAGTTTGAGATACCCCTAGCAGCTGAGGCCCAGTTATGAGTTACAAGTAAATGGTTATAAAAGCGATGTTGTTTTGTATTACAACTTCAAGATTGAGACTGCTTCTTCATGATGTAGCCAGCAGGCTTTTGTGTGCAGCCAAAGCATCCGATGTACAGCATTGACTAAACATTAAGAAAGTTCAAGATAAAATACAAAATATTAAGGGATTGATTTATTGAAACATGAATAAATAACATTTATTTCAGTGGGAAGTTAACAGTTAAGTACCATCTCTAAAAGCTAGATGCCTACATGTAACATGGTTATGACCCGAGGGAAGAGGCACTCCAGGGCACTTCGTCTTGTCAGAAGACATGCTGCTTCAGGATTTTTTTTTGTTTTAAAGTGACCTTCAAGCTAGAGTATCCTTCAGCTATAATCATTTCTATCATTTTATGATAAGAAGTCAATCATTATAGGAACTTTAAGTTACAGGCACAATGGCTTCAGGTCACAGCAGAACTTCCCTTCCAGCATAAGCTTTGTTCAAACCTGAATTTTCAGTACATCTCATACCAAAACTCATCTCTGGCATGTGAAACCATCTGATTGTTACAGCAGTCTTCAAAAAGTTTCTGATCATTTTATTTTTTAATTCAGCTTTACAATAAGAAAATCAGAAGAGGGGGAAATGTAACTCCTAAAAAAACCCCACAGTTAACTAAAAACAAGATTAAAATTGCCCTGGTAAAACAAACGTTAAATTCTGTGATTACATTTTTATACAGTATAGCTTGTATGAAAAATGTTTTCCAAACTAGAAAAGATTTTCAGGAAGGACAAAAAATAATTTTCCTCAAAAATTATTTGTAATATGTAGTCCAGGTGGAGAATGAAAGCACATCAATAATATGGTGAAATTTCTGAAGTCTCAGATCTTAAACACGAGTTATGTTATGATGTAATTCTTTATAGCAAATGAATGTCTTAGTTTTCTGTCAAATCTAATTTTAGTGCATGTCCCTTTTCCAGAGATTTAGACAACTTATATATTAATTTATTTTAAAATTAAGTGTAAAGCATGCTTTAATCAAGCAAACTTCACAAAGTTGTAAGTCTATCTATCTGTATATTTATTGGTTAATAAACCCCCTGTGAAAGAAACAAAAAGAATCAGGAACAAAATTAGCTGAAAAGTTTTGTTTTGAAAGGAAGTAGAAGGATAAGAAAGAAATACCAGAACTGATATCTTTCATAATGTGACTTGGGAAAAGTCCACAATAGATTAGGGCTGGATTAAATCTTTTTTTAATTTGACATAAACTGACAACAGAAAACTTACAGTGCACTGAGCTTTTTAAAATCTTAGAGATACACTTACAGAGCTAGCTTTCATCTCATTTTAAAGCACCTTGTGCCTAAACTATGTATTTTAGTTAAAACAAGCTGTTGTCAACAAGAATACTATTATCAAAGTTAAAAATATAAAGTGCAGCCTCTTTAGATGGGTCTCTTGTACCACAAGCTGTTTCCAAGCTTATATTTGACAGTCCCTCTGTTATTAATGGCTCTAACTTTCAAGACATGTATCAATTCCCAAATCTCCTTTACAATCTTAAAGGATAAGTGAAGGATTCAACTTCATTTCTGACCAATTTATATGGAAATTTGCCCCACACTTGTTTAGCAGCAAAAGTAACCACTTGAATTCCTCAGAGCTATATTATATTTTTCCAACAGCTTACAATGTATTGAATTCATACTTTGTTAGTGCTTTCATCTGATAATATGAATCCCTGTGGAAAAACAGGCAGGGATGTTGTGATTGTAAAATTATTTCTATATTAAAGTGACAGTTTTAGATATTTTTCACTTATTCTTTTACAAAGATGATATTCTCTTCATCATCTGACATCAGCAAGACCAGTAATTACTGAAGGTCCATCCACAAGCACATTCCAAAATAATCAACGTTCATATGGTTTTGAGGATGGAATTATTAAACGTATTTTATTTGTAACCTAGGAGCTGTGAATCATTCAAGTTTCAATAATGTTAGTCCTTAAATGTTTAGCTCAAAGGTAGTACAAAATATTACTATAACAGAAGGAACATCATCCCAGATTCTGAGATTCTATGAGAATTCAGAATTCCTTCGCTTTCCAGGGCCATCTTCTCCTACCAGTCTTTAAGCGAAGTCATGAATTCTCAGTTCAGTTTTCTGGAAGAGGAACCAAATATATTAGTTTAATGTACCTTCACATATGAGATGATTTTTCCTTTGTCTAAATAAACAAATCAATTAAGGTTACACACGAATGATTTCCAATCCATTAAAATACAACACTGCTTCAAGATACCTGAAAATTTGCCCTCTTAAGTTACAAAACAATCTGCACGTTTACTAAACTGGCACAACTTACACCGAGGAGTACAAAATACCACTAAGAATTCTGAACTGCAGATGAAATTCCTCAGAACAGTCCCTGACCACATCAGTCAGTGGTTTGCTGGCTCACAGCAGAGCAATACTTATCAGCTGCGACTCCAGAAAACGTGCAATCGGAACGTTCTAAAATTGTAAGCTGGATCTAAACAAGTCTCAATCATTATTAAAAATATATTTCTATCTGTGATCTGGTTTTAGAGCCCTTAGGATTCAGGTTTACAAGCTTTCTTCAGTGAAGGCTCCAATGAGAGTACCCAGATTGTCAGCATTAAGTTCCCTATAAAGGAATGAGACAGGTTAAGAGGCTCAGAAGACAACCTAAACCAGCCAGAACGCTGTACAGTAGGGTGCTAAGAGTGAGCTGAGCTACCCCTTCCCAGGGGTATGAGCTGAACACAAAGCTGTTAGCTACAGAAGGCCTTCTCTCCACCAGGTCCATGGAATTTGCTCCACTGTGCAAAAGAGTTCAGGAGTCTTGGCTTCACAGCTTCATGATGAGAAAACCTCACACAGTAGCACAGACTCCTGGTTTCTGCTCCAGGACAGTTCATGTATTTTAAAACCAAAAGTACATAAATATGGTCAATATATGCACTGTGTACAGCTGTTGCCTAAAAGCTTACACACTTTAACAGAGAGTACAAGCTGAAACTGGCAATGGGACAACCAGAGAAGGACTCTTGTTTTGCAATTCCATTTTCTCTCTGAGTGTACTTGATCAACTTCCTACCCATCGCTAAAAGAGATGGAACTCTGGATGGAAAGGTGATGCAGAAGCAGACAGTCCTTAAATTCTGGCTACGGATAGATTTCTTCAGAAACAGAGAGGAAAGCTGAAGAACACAGAAATTTCTTTAGTTGTTTCTGTTCTTGACGTTCATCTCATCTTAATACAATCCATGAATGAGTAAACAAAACAAGGACTATCTGGGGCTACGCCATCTCTGTGTTTCACAGACACACTGATATTACTGTTAGTAGACCAGTGTCTATCTGTGTGCCAGAAATCAAAAAGTCCTGGTGTCCAGAACTCAAAAAGAATGTTGATAAACTGTGGAGCATCTGGGAAAGAGCCACCAGAACCACCCCAAGACTGGAAAACAACTTTAAAATGAGATTCCAGTTGCTCCATCTGTTTTGTTCAAGCAAGAGATTAAGAAATGACCTGGTGATAGCAATAAAGTACCCATGGAAAACACATCATGGGCTCTTTGTCAAGTAGATAAAGATCTAGGAAAATCCAATGGATGAAAGCTGAGCTAAACAAACCCAAACTAAAAGTAATGTACCATTTGTTTATTCATTTAAGCTTTGAATCATTAAAACAATATATTAGAAAAATTGCTAGAAGGGGCGCTTTTCTAAAAACTGATTTCTGACTGAACCTGTGAATTAATTGAGGGTGCTACAGAGGTCAGAACAGATGATCAAAAAAGGTTAACACAAACAGCATACTGTTCAGAGAGAGAGAGAGAGAGAGAGAGAGACAACATGGCCATTCGAGAGCTATTAGCTAAACAACACTAAAGTTCACCCACTTGTGTATGCTCTCTGAAATATTTATCCTGCATCACGCTTCATGGATTTAACTTAAATTGCCACACAAAAGGCATACCACATGCAAAGTCCAATTAACCAATACTTTCTTATGCTGAGAAATTTTCAAGGCAAAGAAAACTATACATGTCTCTTCCTAGAATTCCCAGCTAATGGAAAGCACTCCTACTAGCTTCCAGAATTTCTTGTTGCGCATTTGGCTTCAGTTCTTGGGACTGAAACACACACCTTCCTATCAAAACCACACCAAGGACTCTACTGTACAATCTGCTTTAGCCTGGTATCTTCAGAGCTATGAGTCACTGATATATGCAATGGAACGTTAAGCAAGACATGTCTTGAAACAAAGAACTCAAGGAAACAGGATTTATCAAAGCAATTGTTATCAAGCTCCCCATTTTGATACTGACCTGATGTTTCAGATACACTCTCAAAGCCTTATTGAGAGCATATCCTTGCATTCTTCTTACGCATGAAGGCAGTATTTAATGTCCTGTCTAAATAACACGATATACTACATATTGGTTTAAACACAAGAAATGCAGTATATATGCCCTATTAAATGCACATCTTTACCTTCGCTTTCTTTGAAGATACACATGTACCAACCACTGGGCAATAAATGGCCATACAATTGCAAAAGCTAAAATACCAGGAGAAATTTCAAAGGGCCACCATGATGGTTTCTAAGGAAAACGGAAAAAAAATTTAGTCAGCAATCTGAATGGACATATTGAATACCACACGTATACTTTTCAATCACTTAAAATGCTGCAGTATTAAAGTAGAAAATACTAGTAAGACCAGAAAAAAAGATTAATGTACCAAATAACTTTTTCAGACACAGATTATTTTTTATGTCCTAGTCAAGGGAGAGACAACATGAAAAGCACATACTAAGAGCTAGATATAAAATATTAATCTCCTTTTTTTCACCATTCACACTGCTTTTTGCAAATAGAAAAAACAGTATTTTACCTTGACAGAGGAGGCGGGCTGATGATTTGACTGTAGTGTTGCAGATTTTGCCTTTAAATACAAACAAAAGCTGGTAAGTATAAAAAAAGAAACGGCAATTAAAATTTTTCTGCTTCACAAAATGAGAATATGAAGTTTTTCATCTTGTGAAGGCTTTGCAATCTCTGTATGTGACAGTTTAAGGAACAGAACTGCCCCCAGGCAACACCCCTTTCACCACTTAGCTTCCAACTTACCTCCCATGTTTCCATTACTCTTTATAGCATTTTTATCACATCTCTGTGTGTTAAAAAATGAATCAGTGTCACTTACTGGACCTCTTTACAGTTTTTCAAGGCCCCCTGCCCAACTTGTCATCACAACTTCCTCAACTCTGGTCCAGTCCCAGCAGTTGCAACCCAGAGTAGAAATCCCAGCAGCTTAATTTGCGTGATTACATGTTTCAACACTAGTCTACACAAAGGCAAAAAGCACTGTTTTAGTCTGCCTATAGGTACAGGCATGTCTAACAGCATAAAGGAAAGAGAATACTCTGTTCCAAATCTTCCAGGCAATCCAGAAGATGAGAAGTACCAGAAACTTTTCAAGATTATTCCCATACGCTATTGTGGTGCTTCCACAAAAACAAAGCAGTCAGTTTTCTAGGTCTTTCTTAATTTATGTAAGTGTGAAACAGAAGCTTCTGTTTCTCTTTAAGTGAGGGTATCAAGCACAGCATGAACTGCTGGGAAAGAATCTTTTACTATTTCTTATATTGCTCAGGCAAAAAAAGAAAATCAATCTGTATCCAAACATCAGATTCTTGAATAGCTGTGATGGAGCGAAATCATGGTTTTAATAAATCCTTTTCCCTGGCTGCCTTAGATTTGGAGTTTGTGCATCCCGTAAGATACTGCTTGTACAGCTCTCTCATTCTCAGGTAGATCAAAACATATCAGCAAGTCAAACAAAACCAAACATTTTTAGGTTGCTGGTTCAACTTTATTCACAGCATATTCTATTCTCCCGAATATACAGTATTTCCATTGAAACAGAAGGAAAAAGAAACAGTACCTCAATAAATATCTACACTTGCTTAAGATTTCTTTTGCCTATCTTGTATACATGATGTGAAATTCCAAGGAAGCTGGATTACTTCATGGGGAAAGAATGCTATGAAGAATCAGTCTTCTGCTAACTGAAAAACGGAATGAGAAGTTCTGCCTGCAAACATTTACCAGTCTGGAAGATTAAGATAATTTCTCACTTCCTTTGAAAATGCTCTGAGATCTACTGATGAAGAAATTATCTGGGATTGTGTATTACTAACATTAACTATGGAATCTCTATATAGCGACTGTGCAATGTGTATTAATAACTATGGCTAAGATTAGTCTGATCAGATATCAGTAAAATAATATATGGGTAATTTCTAGGTCAAAATGCATGTTTTTGCTCACATGTACAAAAGTCCTGAACTGTGTTCCTGAGAGTAGGTATCAATAAGAAATTTTAAGTTGGAATAAACTACAGAATATAACTGAAATGTCTTTACAGTTTAAGAAAATGTTGTCTGAAATTTTAATCTGAAAAAGCATAAAAATATCCAAGGAAATTTAATAAAAAGTAATCAAATAATTTCAATGACTAATACCTGTGATGCTGTAACCGCTTCCAGCATATGCAACCTCTGAAGGACATTCTGCATGTCTTCTTGCAACCGCATCAGCACTACTGCAATCTGTTCATTGAGGCTACCCCTGGGTCCTCTGTCTGATCCCCAGCGCTCTCCGTCCCCTCCACTACCCATCTGTCCACCTTGTGAACCATCTTCTAGAGGCTGAAGTCTATGCCCTATGTTGAGGAAGAAAAAATAGATACATAAAACACAGAAAGGGCTACCAACTCTGTTGAAAATGCTTGATTTTAACAGTTCAGTTTTCTCCCTGTCGAACTGAGTGTGGTATTCCTAACCACAGGTTATATTCAGACAGTTCAAAAGCACTGGGAGGTTACTGCAACATCATTTGAGATGCTTCCCTACAGCCTAAGCGTGACAGTATCATTCAAGGTCCCAGAGCTGCATAGCAAAAAATTACTAATTCACATCCAGTCAAGTTCAGCAGTAAATTCTGCCCTAGCGAAAAGAAAGTAAGATCTGTTTTATTATCAAGGGTAGGAGTGTTTTAAGTTTGGCACAGTCTCTAGCTAGAAAACAAAGAACACTGGAATAGAGTGATGAGAAAAGATAATTGTTTGAAACCTACAATACTCCTTTAAACTATATACAGCTGGACTATCATGTTTCCGCCTGCAAGTAGCAAACCTAAGTAAAACAACAAAAGAGAGAAGGGGAGATGGTTAAACTATAATATGTTCTATCCAAATAAATGTTATATTTGGATTTTCTTTTTAATTTTTGCATCTGATCACATGTAAGTGCCATACAAAAAGGCATGCTATATATAAATAAAATACTTTCTGGCTTTTTTTTTTTTAGTACAAGAAAAATAAACTTTATCCTTGACTTTACAGATCATACCACTGGAATATGGTGCTGCTCACCATATTAGAAGTATTACAGAATTAAAAAGAGCAGAGGTCCAACATAAATTGAACATCTGGACTATTACATGATTAAGAACGAGTAAGTTTTAAGAATCATAACAGATAATATCAGAATCACTCAAAGGTGTGGCTAACACTCCAATTATATAGAAAACAATGCGTCACTTTCCAAGATGTTCCATGGTTTTAAATAAGACACCATAGAGGTATAAATGCATATGCATTTAAAAATAAACATGTAACTTGTAAAGAAACTCTTCTCATGCATAGACAAGTTTTGAAGATTACATTTCTAAAAAGACAGGTGCCATAAAACAGCAGCTGGAGTTTAAGGTAAGCCAAAACAGAAAAAGCCAATATGCTTATACAAGATCGCCGTAGCACACAGCAAATAAATACTCTGAAGACAAAACTGATTGCTACCCACTGTAATTAGGATTTTGTTATCTATTTTTATTGTGAAGGACAGAAGCACTATACCGCATGACTATCTTACTGGACAATGTTGACAAGTGCTTCTCAGGCACCAGTAACTTATGGCAATTAGGAGAGTGGGGAAAACGAAAGCAGCGTGCACAGTACCTCTCCCTCTTCTGACACTGTAGAAATCTGCTTTTTCTCCACCTTTCTTCTCTTTGTGAGGGCCCCCATTACTGGCTTTGCCATCTTCTCCTCCACATTTGACTTCGCCTTGTGCTTGAGCTGTTCCCTCTACAGTATCTCCAGGTTGGAGATTCTCGTAAGTCATGCAAGCGTGCCTTGGAAAATCCGTATTTTCTAACAGAAGACTGTGATCTACATCCAAGAAATGGGACGAATGCTTTAAAGATCCTTTAGCTGATGTGATGATCTCCAAGGGCTACAAATCAACATTAGCAAGTAATTAAATTTCTGTAACACATGACAGTTAACCAATAAAAAGAAAGAACATCATCTCTACTTTCACTTTAAGAAAATAGTTTGCCCGGAATTAAGAATTTTCTTTTAACAGGAGCAGTTGTTTTCCTGTAGAATGCGCTTACTATTGTCTAAATGTCCTTTTCAGATTGAAAAGGCATTTGAGGCAAATATTCTCAAAACAGTGATACCACTTGAAATTACTTTAGACATTTCTAACATGCAGTAATACTCAGTAATCACTAAAATAGAACATTAAGATCTGAAAACGTTCGGTTTTCCCTTGTAAAATTGGCTTTGCTTCCTAGACAGTGAAGTAGTATCCTAACTTGGATTCATGAGCCACACTGTCAAAAGTCACGTGCTATTAGCAACCTTGAGTAGGCACTGTTTACACTCACAGCAAAGAGATCACGTTGTTTATTATCAACCTGTTCAAAACAGCTTGGCTGCAACCTGTACCTCTCACGAAACAAAAGAAAGGCATAGTATTCTATCAACATCTCACTCAAAATTGGTGGTATTATAGGACAATATTAAAAATGGAGGACATGTGCACTGATCAGGTCACAATTACATGTTCTGCAACAGGACTGCCCTAAGGTGGTTCATGCAACCCTTTGTTCAGTGCAAGGACAAGCACTTGCACAAGTATATGCTGAAGCAGACTGGGGACCTCAGCTAGCTGAAAAATAACTCCATGAAAAAGCCAAAATAACCAAAAGAAGGGGCAAAGAAATGGAAACTGCTGCCAAAATCCCATTTGTCAAATAGCAGTTCATAAACCTGTATCATCAGAACTGAGGGACAGAGTGTTTGCTACATCTTTTCCAATAAAAAGCTGTATTTAATTATTTAAATGAACCTCTTCTAGTTTGAATTGATTCATCTGTAGTTCTACTTGTGTCTTTATTTACACATACCTGAACAGTCATTATTTTGTTCAGAACTAGAACTTTTCTCATGCAGGTTGGGAAATTCTGACAAATTATCCACCCACTTCAATTAAAGAATCTCAAACAAGCTCAAACAATACACAAGATGATTGGGAAATCACCTAGATAAGACAGCTTGCAGCACTTCTACCAAATCACCTTTCCCAACATGCTTCATTACTGGGTAAAATTTTGATTTGCTAAAAGGAATTCTCTAGATCCTCAGGAAACAGCTAGACAAGACAATGATGCAATATTAGAGTGCTTATTGGTCTTTCTGATCCCATGCATCATTCATATATTCCTCCCCAGAATCGGGAAACTAGGCATTTGGGTACAATCTACAAAGTTCACACTTAAACTGGACCTCTGAAGGAGGACCAAGCCAGTAAGCCAACTAAGACTACGGTTAATACAATGAGCAGGAGCAGAAATTCAGTCAAATTAAGCCAGCACGGTTGGTGCCCACCTTTTATATGAAAGTCAGAGATGTACCTCACGGCTGAAGAGAGTATAAAAGAACCCAAAAATCATTGTCAACTCCCACTTCTTTAGACCTAGGCCATTTTCATGCACTGGCCTACAGGCCACTGGCTAAGGCTTACTCTTTATTTATTTTAAGAAACAAATGCAGGATTCATCAGGCCAGAAAAAGAGCACGCAAAAAGCTCATTGTTACAAAGACACTCCCTGCTGCTTAGAGATATGGATTCTGGTCCCTACATATGTTAGGAGACCCTAAATTCATTTGTGGACACAGCCCTTAGTTTCTTTGTACTGTTGTTTTTGATACCTTCCCCTCACATGAATTCTCTGAGCGCAAAAATTTCCAAGTAACCAAGTTGTAAAAGACTGACAATAAAAAGAACAAAAAACAATAGTCCAAACAGGAGAAAGGTATGCATGAGTTATTTCATTCACTTCTGCGTGTCCAGGTTCATCTGGCAGATAGCAACCTATTTAAAAATAAGCATACTAGTTTTAAAATACACCTAGGAATACTAAGCCCCTACCTCTTCTAGTCCAAGTTGCTCCATAGAGTCACAATAAACTTCACTGTCTGAATCACTGGTTAAGTGCTGAGTTGCTGAGACCTCTTCAGTATTCTCTTCATTTGCACCTGTATGGAAAGGAGAGATGCACAGATGCTTTGTAAATGTGAGTCAATCCTGGCAAAAAGTAAAGCAATGAGTTAAAGTATCTAGGTGAGCTTCAACTCATGCCCCTTTTATCTATGATTGTCATGCTAAAGTTAGATTCTGAATAAAGAGGTTATATTAATATAGGAATTATACAAAACTTTTACTAACGGGAAAACTATACCTCATATTGGCATTTCTGCATTATAAGTTGATAATTTTTATTTCACCTTGTTCATTCCATTCTCCTTCCTAAGTTCAGTATAAAGCAGTTTTCCCTGAAGTTATCTGTTAATTTTAAAATTATATATTTATACATCAGTTTCAACAAACTGGCATTTATAATATGTTCAACCTTTGTGAAAGACAAGTAAGATACTGGTGATTTTCATTTCACTAGGAATTAGCTTTCGAAGGCAAATAGTATTTGCATAGGTAGTATAATGATTTTAAAAGAAAACAATTGTATTTCTGTGGTTTTGGGCCCCTCTGTCTCTGAATGCATCTCTCTGCAGGAGATCCTAAAAGAAAGCCTTATTTTAAACTGGTATTAAATTTGATTTTTTTTGGAGTATTCTTTCTTCAGGTTTCTACAACTGAAAGACAGCACTGCTAGTCTCTGAATCCCAGGATTAAGCTTTCAAGAAAAGAAATATTTTCCAAGAAAAACATGTGCAAATGAAAATACGGTCTTGCAAGGACAATACCTTGGTGAGCACTGTTATTAGCTATTTCTAGGCTTGGCTCCGTTTTCTTTATTTCTTCCTCCGGGTTCAAGCCATTCAGGGCAGATTTAGTCTGGATGCCATTCTGCATATCTGGGATAAAGCTGTCCTTGTAACAGCCATTAGTAACAATACTTTCCAAATCCTTAGCAGCTGCTGATTCTGGTTTCACATTCTTATAGTCTGTAAAGGAACAAGAAAACCTTGCAAATAGAAAGCTATGCACCTAATAGCTCAAAACATATTTCTTCAAGTAGCTAACTTTCTAGTGGACTGCAAGTATAATGTATCTGCAGAATAAAATATATAAATGCTCCTAGATTCACATTCACAGGGATTGTTCTGTTCTTGTAAAAAGCGTAAATATAAAATTTAATTTGCATAAAAAGCAGATGATATGTGAAACATAAGTAAGCAAATCCAAAGTAGGTCTCTGATAAACTAAGTAATTATCCTAATATCCCTGGAGGAAAAAATCTGTATAGAGTTCTAAATATGTAATTTCATTTGGTTTTCACTTGATGCCGGTATGGACTTGATGCTTTTATGGACCCCCTAAACGAATCTCGCTGAAAGTTCTGTTTTATTTTCCCTGAAGAAAAAAAAGTTATTTTCAATTCTACTGTTACAGCCCATGTAGCCATTCACAGCTCTTACAAACAGCACTGGCAATAAAAACCAAAACAATACAGGGTATAGACTTTTAGCTAGCCTACCGACAGAACTTCCTAGCCAAGTCAAAAATTGTATGGTATAGCTCACAAATTTGTACTAGTTCTAAATCTTACAACCCAGGTTGAGATGCTGCCATTCTTCACACATGCATCCATGTGTATTTGCATCTAATTCTCCTGAAGAGGTACAGCATTCATGATCCTTTGGGATTTTCTGCCACTTAGGTGGCTAAGAATAACTTTGGAACAAACAATGGTCCAAGTGCAGAAAACATACCCTTTCCATTTAGCTGCAGTTCTTTCTCCTCCTCTTCACGAAGCCCTTCTTCTTCTGATTCTGCTCCGCTATCACTACTTTCAGCTTTTCCATTCACAGCCTTTATATTTGGAGTGGAATTCATGACATTACTAAGGTCTAAGAAAAAATTCAGAGAGGAAAAAAAGATTTTATTTTATAAGAAACAAACATACAACCCTCTCCCCCTCAAACTATTAGTCATAGTTCTACAAAAGTATTTCCATATTAGAAGGTGTACCAAATAATGCCAGCTTTATTTCTGTAAGCTCTTCCTTAATTGGTTTAATGTTTCTCTTTTGTGGCTCACCACAGAATGCCTAATTACTGGTGAAGAGATTCTCAATGATTCCGAGGAAGCCTACTGGAAAGAGGCAGCACGCCATTTTCACTACTGAGTCTCTGACCAAGACTATTACCGATATTTACGGTATAGCTGCAGTAACTGCAGCTGCAGATCAGTTTTATCTAGGACTGACGTGGCCATGTTCTCCTAAACCCAGAAGTCAGCGTTTTTACAGACATTCCCTTTTGGGCTGAAATGCTTCAAAATTGCTCTCAATTCAAAGTCAAATTTTGAAACATTTTATTAAATTATGTGAGCAACAGGATTCTGAAGAAGGTAAATACAATATCCCATGCACCTTCTCCTGCAGCAATTTAAGCAGATGCAAAATGTGGTAAGAAGACTCGAGTTTATACAGATCTTTATCTAGCAAAGGGCATATGGAAATAAATTCTCTGATTTCAGTGAAAAAGATGATGAAATAAATGCACTGAGCATTTGTTTGCATGTCTAATTACATAAATATTTTTAAAAAAAAACTTGAAATAGACAAAGTAACTGCTAAATCCTTGTTTTCCACATCTTTGATCACTCCAAGGATCACAAACAATTTACTCTGAGTGTACAAAGAATTGCAAGGTAAAGATCCTTTAAAAATATGGAGATTTTAAGGGACAATTCTACCACCTCCTGTAAAAAAGATATGGTTAAAAACATCCTGATGATCATTTAAGCCTCCTATGTTAGGACAGAGTGATTAAGATACAAAGAGGGGACAATTTCTGCGAGACACTCGCACAGTTTACATGTTGACTCCAGGGCTGAATTCTGTCTGTTTTAATTGTCACCACAGCATTCCATTTGCATAATTTCTACTTTCCCTCGTCAGAACCTTGAAAGATTAATTCTTACATTTAGGCTTAACATTAAAAGCAAAATAATATCCAATTATACTGGAGTTGCCAAACCAGCTCCGCTACTTTCTTTGCTGCATGGTAATTTAGAACTAAGGGTTTTCTGTTTTAGACTTGCAATGAAGAACCTTCCCACATTCCTCTAGTTTCAAAGCTTATCCGTAGTGCTTTAAAAAAAAAAAAAAAAGGCAAAATAACTTAACTTCTTGTATAGAAATAATGAATATGTTAAATATCCTGTTCACCTTAGTTTTACTGCAAGGTAAGGTTTCTGTGGGCACCCTGTGTCAGTGTTTTGGATTGATTTAATCCAACTTTTATCTGAAGATTAAAAAAAATGCTTTTTTATTGTAAAAAGAGAACTGGAAAAGCTATTGTCTGTCTTGTAGATTACAAGAATATAAGGAATCACATGCTCATTTTCTCCTCACTGAAAAATACTTCTTATTTGCAAGGAAATTTGTTTCACAAAAGAAAAATCCCAACATATTCCCAGTTAATTTCTTGTAAACATGTTTCATTTATTGTGAAACCCAATTCTCACGATGTTTTTCTGAGAAGTAGCAGTGTGAGGAGGATAAGGTAGCAGTTAAGTCCTCACAGCATGAGCATTAAGCACAGACACAGCTCCCTTGGCATGGTAAGGCAAGCATCATGCTTCCCTTTGAAACAAAAAGGGAGTGAGGGCACAATCATCTGTGTGTCCTACCCAGTCGTGGGAGTAAACAGGAAAGACAAGACTAGGAGGAACATTTAGCTGTGAAGGAAGGTGAATCAAAACTGTAAACCTCCTCACTCTACCAAAGATATTGTAAAAAGCCCCAGCTATACCATGAGCTTTTTTCTTAAGATTTACTTTTTTTCTTTTTGAAGAGAAGGGAAGGTCTTTGAATATTTTCTCTTCACTTAATTTCAGCAAGGAGATTATTCATTTGGGGAAACTTCTAAGCGATACATCACATATATTTAAATAAAGAGATGGAACTGAGACAAAGTATCAACAGTAACAGATTTACGGTATCATGCCATGGGACACCTAAACAACTGAAATCCATCAGGATCATATTTCTTCCACAAAATCATTCTTAGCAAAAGTGCTCCTAAAGACCATAAAGAGGCACTGCTTTGATGCCGACTCTGAAGAACACAGCATTATACAGAGTTTTGGCCACTTGAAATATCACACTTAATTGTGTACTTTTCCTCAGAACCCTTACGCTGCTATGCTGATCAGGTCCATCCCCAATTGCTTTTACTACACGATAAAATCACAGTTTGTTGCCATCCTCCTTGTTACTCTCAGTATCTGCTAAAAAACCAGCAATGATGACTAATACTAGGGATGATAGGGATAAAGACTAAACAGCCAACAAGTAGTGACTACAGTCCCTGTTGGTAGGTTAATGGCTACTTCCTGAGGAATGTATCTTTTAACATAAATGATAAGAGTCAAGCAACCTTTTAAAACCGTATTTGCTTTGTGCTAATCCCACCCATCCATCCACCCCTTTATTCTTTCTGTTTACACACTTCAACTGCAGGCAAAATGTTAGTAGCTTTTTCTGTTGCCCTCGTTTAGATTACTATAGAATCCCTCTTGGTTTATTATTTTCATCTCACTGCTTAGAACACCAAACTGTGAGATTTGTGACAGAGTTTTCTAAATCAAAGCTGTACTGCTCTGTAGCTGTACCAGGAGTTATATTCTACTGTAAAAGCCTGGATTGTTTTTTTTTAATGCAATATAGTAAGAGCTGTGTAACAGTAACAACATGGAAACAGAAGGAAGAATTTAACAGAAGAAAATGGTGACATGGAGAGGATGTGAAGAACAGACATACAGCCTCTCTACAAGCTTTCACTACATGTTTATCTTCTTTTATCAGCTCTATTAAGAGATTTCCTAAGAGCAAATTTAAATATATTTCTTTAAAGGCAGCACTACAATTCTTCTCAATGACCTGCATAACAGGGCCGAGTTTCTCAAAAATATGTATTTTATTTCTAACTTCCCACATGTTTCAAGACAATATTTGTTACCCAGATGGGAGTCAGGAGCCTAAATAAAAGGAAGAGTAGGGAATATGTGGGCCCTCTCTGGAAGGAAATGGGAGACCTGGTTACCCAGGATATGGCGAAGGCTGAGGTACTCAATGACTTTTTTGCTTCAGTCTTCACCAGCACGTGCTCAAGCCACACTGCCCAAGTCACAGAAGGCAAAGGCAGGGACTGGGAGAACGAAGAAGTGCCCACTGCAGGAGAAGATCAGGTTCGAGACCATCCAAGGAACCTGAAGGTGCACAAGTCCATGGGACTTGATGAAATGCATCCGTGGGTCTTGAGGGAACTGGCAGATGAAGTTGCTAAGCCACTATCCATCATATTTGAGAACTCGTGGCAGTCTGGTGAAGTTCCCACTGACTGGAAAAGGGGAAACATAATCCCCATTTTTAAAAAGGGAAAAAAGGAAGACCCAGGGAACTACAGGCCAGTCAGCCTCACCTCTGTGCCTGGCAAGATCATGGAGCAGATCCTCCTGGAAACTATGCTAAGGCACATGGAAAATAAGGAGGTGATGGGTGACAGCCAACATGGCTTCCCAAATCGTGCCTGACAAATTTAGTGGCCTTCTATGACAGGGTTAGAGAGTTGGTGATAGGAGCAATTGACGTCATCTACCTAGACTTGTGCAAAGCATTTGACACTGCCCCACATGACATCCTTGTCTCTAAAATGGAGAGACATGGATTTGACAGATAGACCACTCAGTGGATAAGGAATTGGCTGGATGGTCGCACTCACAGAGTTGTGGTCAACAGCTTGATGTCCAAGTGGAGACCACTGACGAGTAGCATTCCTCGGGGGTCGGTATTGGGACCGGCACCGTTTAACATCTTAGTTGGCGACATGGACAGTGGGATTGAGTGCACCCTTAAGCAAGTTTGCCAATGACCCCAGCTATGTGGTGCAGTCGACACGCTGGAGGGAAGGGATGCCATCCAGAGGGACCTTGAGAGACTTGAGAGGTGGACCCGTGCGAACCTCACGGTTCAACAAGGCCAAGTGCAAGGTCCTGCACATGGGTTGGGGCAATCCCAAGCACAAACACAGGCTGGGTGGAGAATGGATTGAGAGCAGCCCTGAGGAGAAGGACTTGGGGGTGTTAATGAGAAGCTCAACATGACCCAGCAACATACGTTTGCGGCCCAGAAAGCCAACCGTATCCTGGGCCGCATCAAAAGAAGCGTGACCAGCAGGTTGAGGGAGGTGATTCTCCCCTTCTACTCTGCTCTCATGAGACCCCACCTGGAATACTGCATTCAACTCTGGGGCCCCCAACATAAGAAGGACATGGACCTGTTGGAGCAAGTCCAGAGGAGGGCCACGAAGATGATCAGAGGGGGGCCACGAAGATGATCAGAGGGGGTGGAGCACCTCTCTTATGAAGACAGACTGAGAGAGTTGGGGTTGTTCAGCCTGGAGAGGAGAAGGCTCTGGGGAGACCTTATAGCAGCCTCCCAGTACCTGAAGGGGGCCTACAAGAAACCTGGAGAGGGACTGTTTACAAGGGCATGTAGTGATAGGACGAGGGGTAATGGCTTTAAACTGAAAGAGGGTAGATTTAGATTAGATATAAGGAAGAAATTCTTCACTGTGAGGGTGGTGAGGCACTGAAACAGGTTGCCCAGAGAAGTTGTGGATGCCCCATCCCTGGAAGTGTTCAAGGCCAGGTTGGATGGGGCTTTCAGCAACCTGGTCTAGTGAAAGGTGTCCCTGCCCATGGCAGGGGGGGTGGAACTAGGTGATCTTTAAGGTCCTTTCCAACCCAAACCATTCTATGAAATGCCCCTGTGGATCTGCCCCAGCTTGAGGATCCTTTTACAAAGAAAACCTAGCCTAGTAGGTTTTTTTCAAATACC